TTTTCCAGCAGAGAGTTGGGAGTTTTGATGCCAAGCCTTTAAAAAGAAAAGAAACCCCTGAGGAGCCCACCATCAATCCTGTCTATCTGAGGCTGCGTTGTCAGAAGCAGGGCCCAGGCCACTTGCAAGTGAGGCCCCTCTGCTCTATTGCTGTGTGACCTTCAAGAATCATTTAACCTCTCTGAGCTTCTCTGGTAAAACAGCGCCATTAAGATCCATCCAGCAGAGTTTGTGTGAGGAATAAGTGAGATAATGGGGGTGAAAAGCTGCAAAACCCCTTAATGCTTATTAGAGGGTTGAGACCCTGTGCCCCAGGCTGGGTGGGTCCGGGGAACTCGAGGTGGGGGGCAGACTCCCCAGCCTCGGGCCCAGTAAGAAGGTAGAGGAGGGGTTGGGCTGACACATCACCTCTTCCCTTGCCAGCCTCCGGGAGAGGAACAGTGGCAGCTCCAGTGGGTACCAGATCCAGCCACAGCAACCCAAAGGTCATGTGTATCCTGGAAAAAGGAGGCAAAACTCATTCGCCCTCCCAGGCTCTTGACCTCCAAGCCTCGGGGCTGTTCTACATGTTGAACGTCACCCCACGGGAACCAGGACTCCCCCTGAACTCATGTGGGAACCACCACCGCTGTCACCACGCACTCCTCGGGGTTTTCACAAGTTACGTGGAATCCTTACAGCAGCCCATTTTACTGACCAGAAAACAGCTCAGATGTAGGAAGAACTCCCTGAGAAGTAATGCCAGGATTACACTGCAGGTCTTCCTGAATCCAAAGGCCAAGTTCTTTTCACCGCACCCAGTAATTCACACGAAGCTACTGACATCTGCTCAGCATCCCCATGGTGAGCTTTGCCTCCACATCACTGTGCTCTAGTCCTGAAATGCCCCTGACTGTTCACTGGCAAATTCCTACTCATCTCTCACGTCTCCACCTCCTCAGTGCCTCCCCAAGACTCCAGGGCAGAGAGTGTTTAATCAGCCGCAGCCCCGTTTATCCGATGACTATAATTGTTGGGCTGAGCCCCTGGGAAGGAATGATCAGTTTCCCCGCCCAGCTCTCCAGCTGGACTGAGCAACCAGCCAGGCACATACAACATTCTCAGCAGAGGTTTGTGGGCAAGAGGGACACACTGCTTCCTCCTCAAGCCCCTCCCTTTTGCACCTTAACTAGCCTCACAGAGATCTGTCAGACCATCAGGCAAACCTAGAGGGTCATAAAGAAGTCAATAAGCGAGTCTAGAGTCAGAGACCAGAGCAGGCCCATCGATTTCTGCATATCTGGAGCCTCAGATGCCCTTCGGAGCTTCACGTCCCCAGCAGCCGCTGCTCAACATCCACAGGTTTAAGGGCAGGTTGGGTGGAGAAGGGAAGGCAAAGCTCCCTGGCCCAGGGGAGGGAAATGGTCAGCGCTGGCCCTGACCAGGAGGACTCAGGGCTGGACTAAAGGACTCGGAGAAACGTGCACCCATATGGTAGACACACAGCCTCTCCGTCCCAGGGAGGTCCAGGCAGCTGCTTTAACAACAACTAACATTTGTCAAGCCCTAAGAGCCAGGCAGTGGCACACCCAGAGTGGGAGAGTGAGAGCCGAATCCTCTGGGTGCAAACAAATAGGGGAGAGTTGTCCATAGAGAATTTTAAAACCATGATAAGACACACCAAAACTCAGTCTGCTGTTTATTATCACCATGTGCCAACACTTTTAAACAATATCAGTGATATTGGTCTAAGTTCTAACTCATGCACTTCCTGTTGAGAGTTAATAATATAGGGACTTCCCTGGTGGCACAATGGTTAAGAATCTGCTTGCCAATGCAGGGGACACGGGTTCGAGCCCTGGTCCAGGAAGATCCCACATGCCGCGGAGCAACTAAGCCCGTGTGCCACAACCACCGAGACTGCGCTCTAGAACCTCCGAGCCACAACTACTGAAGTCCGTGTGCCACAGCTACTGAGCCCATGTGCCACAACTACTGAAGCCCGTGCTCTGCAACAAGAGAAGCCACCGCAATGAGAAGCCCACGCACTGCAGCGAAGAGTAGCCCCCACTCAACGCAATTAGAGAAAGCCACGCGCAGCAACAAAGACCCAACGCAGCCATAAATAAATAAGTAAATAAATTTATTTAAAAAATAATAATAATATATATGTGAGCTTTAAATTAGCACACTTTCATTTCTTATTCTTTCAGTCTTCTACATGGAAGTTTAATCAGAGAACACCCAGCTATACAGTCAACCCCCAATATACACAGACTCAGCTACATGTGTCCGTTCCAACAGTAAGTTCTGAATGGCTCAGAATGGTTCAAGTTCACTTTCAGCACAGTTTGGGCCACCAACTCCTGTGATCCTACATTTTCCTGTGTTTAAACAAGAAGACAACAGTCTGCTCTCCCAGTGCCAGAAGAAAAGTGTTTGAAAGAGAAGTGTTTGAAAGTCTGGATCAACTTCACCAAGAACTAGACTCTCATTCTAAAGCAATGGATTAAATAAATGTCAAAGTTCATCACCATTCAGCCATTTTCTCTGATTTTTGCCAAGGAAGAAAAACTGGGGAGAATTTTGCCAAATAAGATAAAAACTTACAATGAATTTTCTGGTGAATATGTTTCAGTGAAAATGTTTTAAATGTGGATATATTTAAAAGCCACTAGAATGAGGACTTCCCTGCTGATCCAGGGTTAAGACTCCACGCTCCCAATGCAGGAGGCCCGGGTTAGACCCCTGGTCAGGGAACTAGATCCCGCATGCCGCAACTAAAAGCCCGCACGTGGCAACTAAGACCCGGCATAGCCAAATAAATAAATAAATGTTTTAAAAAATAATAATAAAAAATCAAAATAAAAACAATTAAAGCCACTAGAATGGATAAACAACAAATGTCCTACTATATAGCACAGGGAACTATATTCAACATCCTGTGATCAACTATAATGGAAAAGAATATGAAAAAGAATGTATATATGTGTATAACTGAATCACTGTGCTGTACAGCAGAAATTCACACATTGTAGTCAACTATACTCCAATAAAATAAATATTAAAAAAAGAAAAAATCGGGAATCCCTGGTGGTCCAGGGATTGGGACTCCACACTTGCACTGCCAAGGACCCAGTCCAATCCCTGGTCTGGGAACTAAGATCCCATAAGCCATGTGGTGTGGCCAAAAAAAAGAGAGAGAGAGATATCTAGAGATCAGCAAAAATAAATAAAAATAAAACATAGAAGCCACTAGAATTAATTTTTTTAAGACATAGGCAGCGTTGCAATTTCTCCAATTTATTATGAAATGGGATTTTTATGAATTTCTGACAAACTTATCCTAATGTTTAAGGTTTTTCCAATTTGTATATGAGAGAAGCTTTAGAAATTAAAATTAATAAAAAGTGTCTTCTCGACATATACACACTACTATATATAAAATAGATAACTAATAAGGACCTACTGTGTAGCACAGGGAACTCTACTCAATACTCTGTAATGACCTATATAGGAAAAGAATCTAAACAGTGGATATAGGTATATGTATAATTGAGTCACTTTGCTGTACAGCAGAAAGTAACACAACACTGTGAATCAACTATACTCCAATAAAAAAAAATTTTAATAAATAAATTTAAAAAGTGTTCTTCAACTGTGAATAAAGATAAATGGACAAATCTAGCTCTACTGAGTGTTGAACATGAATATGCAAAGAAGATCAATTTTGTCAAAGTCAAGGACAACTTTTCAGAAACTAAAGTTCCAAAACAGAAACTGTAATGGCATTATTATTCACTACTGTGACCAACCTATATGTAAGAATACGTTTTCTTCAAAAATACACTAATGCAATTAAAAGCTATTAACCCATTACTTCTATTTTTCTCTATAACACCTACTTTATTTTTCAGTTTTTATATTTACACTGGCATGATTTCATATACAAAGCTCAACAGAAGAAACTTGACTGTGTTTCTTTTCTGGCCATTATTACTATTCATTTCATGATTATTACTGAAAATAATGTTGCTAGGTAAAGGAAAGGATGTTTTCAAATGACCACTCCAGACATCAAATATTCCAGGTACACCCTAATACCAGGCACTGTGCTAAGCCCTTTACATGGATTAAATCATGATCATAATAACAATGAATTACAGTGGAGCACATAATATGTGTGTGAAACACTGTTCTGAGCACTTCATAAGTATTAAGTCATATAATCCTCACTCTGGGGAACAGAGTTGATTTGAAACTTGGTCAAAGTGCCACAGCTAGGTGCTCAGCAG